TGCTAAGAATCCAGTATGCTTTTTGTTATACTTGTGTGGAACACACTATACTTTCCCCATTCATTAATGAGAGAGCACAAGAATAATTGATATTTACCACACAGCTCAGAAGGGGATTGCATCATCTCCTGCAAAAACTACAAAAGCTTATAATAATAATAATAATAAATTTTATTTATAACCCGCCCCTCTGCTCAGCAATCGGGGTGGCATACAACAGATTAAAAATACAACAGATAAAAACATTCCATCCTCCCCTCCCTAACCACCCACCCCTTAAAACAGGATTAAACTATTAAGGAATTAAAATCAGATTCACAATTAAAGCAAAAGACAATACTGTCCCATTGGCCTGCTGATGAGGATAACGGGAGGGATAAATGGCGGATCACCTCCAAATTTTTGCTGGGTAGTTATTCCGGGAAGGCCTGTCGGAAGAGATCCGTCTTTACCGCCTTTTTAAAGGTGGCAAGAGTAGTAATCGAATGGATCTCATCCGGCAGGCGGTTCCACAGTCTGGGAGCGGTTGCTGAAAAGGCCCTCTGGGAGGTCTGCAAAAGCCTGGTCTTCATGGGCTGCAGCAGATTCCTCCCAGAGGACCAGAGTGCACGGAGGGGATCATACGGGGAGAGGCGGTCCCTAAGATAAGATGGACCCAAGCCATGTAGGGCTTTAAAGGTTAAAACCAACACCTTGTACTGTGCCCAGAAACTAATTGGCAGCCAGTGGAGGGATTTAAGCCCTGGTGTTATGTGCTCCCTCCTAGATGTTCCAGTAATTAACCTGGCTGCCATATTTTGTACAAGTTGCAGTTTCCGGGTTAGGCACAAGGGTGGCCCCATGTAGAGTGCGTTACAGAAATCCAAACGTGAGGTTACCAGAGCGTGTACCACAGTTTCCAGATCCCTCATGTCCAAATAAGGGCGCAGTTGGCGTATCGGCCGAAGCTGATAACAGGCGCTCCTGACCACCGCATTCACCTGACTAGTCATGTGAAGTGATGAATCTAGGAGCACCCCCCAAACTGCGAACACAGTCCTTAGAGGAGAGTGTGACTCCATCCAGGACTGGAGACTGTATTCCCAGATCTGGTTTCGGGCCTGTAACTGTAAGTACCTCCATTTTCTCTGGATTCAACTTCAATCTGTTTTTCCTCATCCAATCCATTACCACTCTGAGACAGTCATTAAGAGGAGACACCATCTGGAGTCTGAGCCGATGATCTAGTCATGGAGAGATATATCTGGGTGTCATC